GGGGGGGGGTGTCAAAGGGTCACAAGGTCGGGTGCGGGGCTTAACGGGGCGATGTCATGGGGAAACCCTTCCCCTAAACTGTTCGTCACCTCATTGGTCTCACCCCCTCCCAGTCAGTCACCTGCTGTCCTGCCCCTAAGCTGTCACTCACTTCATCACTTCATTGTTCCCTCCCCCACCTTGTCAGTCACCCACCGTCCCCGCCCCTGAGCTGTCACCTCCTTGGTCCCGCCCCCGCCCTGTCCATCACCCACTGTCCCTGCCCACAAACTGTCACTCACCTCCCGGTCCTGCCCCCACCCTGTCAGTTACCCACTGTTCCCAACCCTGAGCTGTTACTCACCTCCCGGTCTCACCCCTATCCCAGAAAGCAAAAGCAGCTGGAGGAGCAGGAGCGAGAACGCCGCCGGGAGGAGAAACTGCGCAGGCGGGAGCAGCGGCAGCGGGACCGGGAGCAGCGGCGCAGCCGGCGCCGGGTGGAGAAGCTGCAGGCTGAGGAGCAGCGACGGCTGCAGGAGAAGATTCGCATGGAGGAGCGGAAGCTGCTGCTCGCCCAGCGCAACCTACAGTCCATCCGGCTGGTGGCAGAACTGCTAAGCCGCGCGGAGGTGGGGAGCGCGTGTGTACACATGTGTGCACATATGTAACATACGTGTGCATGTGTGTGATATGCATACATGTGCACATACACAACCTGCAGTACATCTGGCTGGTGGCAGAGCTGTTGAGCCGTGTGGAGGTGGGGAGTGCGTATATGCATGTGTATGTCGGTGCATGTGATATGTATGTGTACATTTATGTGGTATATGTATGTGATGTATGTATGTGTGTTGTTTATTCATGTATGTGTATGTGTGATATACAAGTGTGTGCACGTGGACTGTGCGAAACATACATGTGTGTGAAGTATATATGTGAACGTGTGTGCGTGTGATATATACCTCTGTGTCCGTGTGTGAAATATTTGTGTGTACTCATGATATACGTGTGTATGAACATGTCTGCACGCATGTGATATATGTCCTGTGCGTGTGTATATTTCGTGAGCCACTGACACGTGTCGTTTCCCGTGTGTGTGCACATAGTACGCCTGTCACGTGTGAACACGTGCGAGCCGTGTGCCCTCTATGGGTGTGAGTGTTGTATGCTTGTGTTCTGTGTCGTACGTCACGTATGACCATGTGGTGTCTCATGTTTATGCTTTGTGTGCCAGTTACGTGTGTATGGGTCATGGGTTTCACGTACACAGGTGCCGCATATGTGTACATTGTGTGTATGTGATGCGTTTACCTGTACCGTGCGTGTCACATATGTCGTTTATCACGTTTGCGTGGCCCTGAGATTCCCCCTGTGACCCCATGCGACCCCACGTGACCCCTTCCCCTAATGTACCACAGGCCGCAAAGCTGCAGCGGCGTGAACGCAGTGAGGAGCGGCGGCGGCGCCAGCGGCAGGAGGAGCGGCGGCGACTGCAGGAGGCCGAGCTGCGCCGCGTGGAGGAGGAGAAGGCACGGGCACTGGGGCTGCAGCGAAGGGAGCGGGAGCTGCGCCAACGCCTGCTGTCCCTGCTGCTAGGCCGCCGCCCCACCAACCGAGCCGATCCCGCCCCGCCTGGAGGCCCCGCAGCCCGCACCGACACCGATGACCTCCTGCGACCCGTGCTTGACATCCTGCACCGCGTGACTCACGCGCGGGCACCACGGGATGCCGATCCCAACCCCAAGGCCCCCGCAGAGCCCGCAGCCCCCGCGCAGGTGCTGGCGTGCATCCGCGAGAATGCACCGTCTAAGCCAGGTGCGTCCCCCACACGGGAGCCACCACCACCTCCGCCACGCGACTGCGATGACCACAACAAATGCAACCGCGAGCCCGGGCGGGAGGGTCGTTCACGCAGCCGAGGTGGGGAGAGTGGAGGCCGGCGGCGGCGGCAACATGGGAAGCATGCACACACAGACAACGCGGACACGGAAGAGGAGGAGGAGGAACCACGACGCCGTGAGAAAGACAAGGAGCGTGGCCGGGAGAGGAAGCGTAGCCGCCACGGGCGCCACTCACGTTCACGGTCACGCTCGCCACGGAGACGGGGAGCGTGGAACAGGTGAGGGTGCGGACAGCGCCCTGGATGGCCATGGCCGCGGTGCATGTTGGGAAGCTGCCGCCAGCGCCCACGGACTCACTTGCACCCTTGTTTGTGCCATGGCCGCAGTTTTTTTCTTTCACCCCCCCACGCAGTTCCTGCTACTATTTTTTTCTCTCTCCCTGTGCACAAATCTGCCACGTAGGCAGGAAGCCTCAGGTGTCACGTGACTGTGTGCGCCTTCCCATGTTCAATAAAGTCCTTTCCTCTGCACCTGGTGTCTGCTGTGGTCTCTTCCTATGGTCATGCATTGGTGGCTTCAGGGTGCGGGGACCGAACTCCTGTCTGGGAGGCCTCACCCCTTCTCACAGGAAATCCTGCCCACAATGCTTGTCAATCACAGCCCCCATGATCCTGCAGGTTGGGTGCTGGGTGATCCGGGTGCTATGCTGAGTCCCCCTGGTGCTGCACTCAATCCCGCTCCCCGACGCCCGGCCATAATCGGCTCCGACCGGATTATCCCATATTGACCCAGTTTCCAGCACCCGGCCAGGGAGAAGATGGCAGAGGCCACGGAGGGGAATCTGGAGAGTGGGGATTTCTGCCTCCTCATGGACTACGCGTACAGCTTCATGGTCTCCCAGGTGGGTGCTGGGTCCCTGCAGGGCAGGGTTCTGGGTGTTTACCCAGAGTTGGGTTCTGTGCACTGAGTCCTCCCCCAGGTATTGTGTGCACAGTTCCCTGGGAGCTGAGCTGAGTCCTCTGATGGTAGGGTGCTAGGTGATGAGTGCTCTCTTGGGTGCCACACTCAGTCCCCTGTGTGCTGTACTGAGTCCTTTGAGAGTAAGGTGCTGGGTTCTGAGTCTTCCCAGGTACTGGGTATTCAGTCCCCCCAGGTGCTGGGTGCCAAGTCGTTCCCCCCCCCCCGTTCTGTGCTCAGTCACCGCCCCCCAGGTCCTCTTCACGGCCTCTGACATGGGCCTGTTTGATGCTCTGGCCCCAGGTACCCTGGAAGCCGCCATGGTCACCTGGGCCCTGTGTTCGAAACTCCGCGGGACATGGCTGCTGCTGGACGCCTGTACCGCCCTGGGGCTTGTGCAGGTGCAGGATGACGGGAGGTGAAGATGCCATCACTGGGGGCTGGGACTGGGGAGTGATGGCATCATAGGGGCGGGCCCTGGGGAGTGAGGTCATGGGGTGGGTCCTAGGTGGTGATGTCATAGGGGCGGGGTCTGGGGAGACAACATCATGGGGGCGGGGCCTTTGCTGCCCTGGGGCTCTCGCAGGTGGAGAACGGTGTGGGAGGTGACAGTGTCACGAGGCGGGGCCTGGGCGGTGATGTCATAGGGTGGGACATGCAGGATTGAGGTTGTACAGGGTGGTGCGGGGTGAGGACGTCATGGGGTTTGGCCCTGGGAGGTGATGTCAGAGGGAGCAGGGCCTAATGTTGGGGTGGGGCCAGGGCATGGAGGTGATGTCACAGAGTGGACAGAGCCTTGGCTGTGCAGGGCGGGTGACCTCACCTCCCTGGCCCCGCCCCCTCCAGCAGGCCCCACCCCATGACATCTTCTCCCAGCCCTGCCCCCTCCCACAGACCCCGCCTTCTCCCTCACACAGCTCTCGCTCCTGTTCCTGCTGGCAGACAGGCCCCTGTCTCAGTGCTTGATCTTGTGCTACCTGGCTGGGACTATAGCAGGGCAAGCTGGGCGGGGCAGTGAGGAGCAGGACTTCCCGATACACGGGGCTTTCGGTGGACGGAGCTTCCGGTGGGTGGGGCTTCCGGTGTGGGTGGGGTTTCTGACTCGCGTGTGAAGTGAGTGCTGAGTTCTCCCATCATCCCCTTGGCCACCGTCCCTGCCCTCCTTGCTCGGCCCCGCCCACAGGGAGGGGTGGAACCAGTACCCGCACGCGGTGGGCGTTGCCATGCAGAAACCATTTGAGGCCATCTACAGGTGACGTCGGCTGGACCTGTCAATCATCCCCACCCACCCCTGTCAGTCATCTCTTGTGTTCTCGCCCTCCCCTGTCAATCATCTCTGTATTCCCGCCCACCCCTATCAATCATCTCTTGTGTTCCCGCCCTCCCTTGTCAATCATCCTCTGTGTTCCTGCCCACCCATGTCAATCATCTCTGAGTTCCCGTCCACCCCTGTCAATCATCTCAGTGTTCCTGCCCTCTCCTGTCAATCATCTCTGTGATCCTGCCCATCCCTGTCAATCACCCCCTGTGTTCCCACCAATCCCTATCAATCATCATACTAACAGTTCCATTATTTTCAAGGGAAATAACTGGGCTGACCAAGCAGCTAAAACAGCAGCATTCCAAAGCCCAAACCTACCTCAATCACCTCAGAGGGTTCATACAATATAGCCCACACTCTCACAGACACCCCCTGACACTCAACAGATCCTGTCCTACATACATCAGCTCTTTCGTCCTAATAGCAAATCTCTGTTTCATTTTGTTAAGGCTCACTTCCAACCCGCCCCTGAGGACTTAAAGATCCTAAAAGCTATCATTGCCTCCTGTCAAATCTGTCAAAAGTCAGATCCCAAGACCAAATACTGTAGCTTTTCTTTTCCCACCCACCAGGCCAGGGGCTCCCTTCCAGGAACTGATAGGCAGCTGGATTTTACTCATATGCCCAGGGTCAGAAGAGTTAAATATCTCCTGGTTTGGGTGGATACAATGTCTGGGTGGGTTGAAGCATTTCCCACCACTAATAAGAGGACCCAGACAGTCTCTGATGTTCTTCTCCAAGAAATCATCCCCCGGTTTGGAATCCCAACCACTCCAGTCCGATAATGGCCCTGAGTTCTCTTCCCAGATTTCCCAAAACTCGTCTAACGCTCTTAACGTTCCTTGGCATTTTCATATCCCATACCACCCTCAGTCTTCAGGGAAGGTAGAATGAACTAACAGGTCCTTAAAAATTGTTCTTGTTAAAATGTCACAGGAGCTTCACCTTGACTGGGTAAAACTTTTGCCTCTGGCCCTCCTTAGGCTTAGGACTCTCCCCCAAAAGCTGTCTTTTAATCTTGCCCTTTGAACTCATGTATGGGCAGCCAGTTTTAACCCCTGGCCTCACCTAAAACCTCTCCCCTTCCTGATCACCAGCTTACTCCCCTGTTATCCCATCTTTGCGCCCTATTATGGGACTTCACCGACCCCTCATTACCATGTGCTAATTCATGCCCACTGCTGATTAACATAGGGGATCAGGTATTATTTTCTCCCCCAGACCAACATCCCTCACCCCTTTCCCCTAAATGGCAGGGTCCCCTTAGAGTAATTCTTGTAACTCCCACAACTGCCAAGCTTGAGGGAATTCCTCATTGGATTCACCTGTCACATCTTAAAACTTTTTACTCTTCCAGCTCAAAATACCCCCTCATATACAGTAACTCAAACAAGACCCTGTTCCCTTAAGTTCCAGAGGACACCAAGATCAGCCCCGCTTTCTCCAGTACAAACAAATAAAAATAAAAGTCTCATCCTTATTCAACTCTCTTGTGCCAATATAATCTCCCTTTTCCTCTTTTTCCTATGTGCAACTTCTCCATATACCTCCAGTGTCATACTTAAATTTCCAAATAACCACTCAGCTGTTGTTACAGGAACCATCATTAAACATAGAGACAGATGTACAAGGACTGTCAAAAGCCCAGGTGGTAAGAAACAATAATAAATTTGTAGCCCCAAACTCCAAAAAAACTCACAAAGCAAACTTTAACATAACAGGTTTATCACTGACTGCAGCAGTGTGTCCTGAATGTTAAGGTAATGCCATGGTGCAAAAATTTACTTCAGGTAAAACATTAAAGAGTCTAACAATAATCCCTTTCAATAATTTCCTCCTTCCCCCTCCTAACATTTTCCATCCTATTGTTATCATAAATTGTTAATATGTCTAAAATTTATTTCTTTTCAGACATTTTTTATAAGCTCCAGAGAACCAATTTGACCTACCTAAATGAACCAGATTTGCCTGGAAAAAGTATCATTTAATTCTTTTCTTGTCATTCCTGGTATTGGGAACCCCTAACCCTCCCCCTATCTTCAATCTTGGGACTCTACTCTATTAATCACTAGGATCTATTTTTTTTTCCTCCCAAACATAATTTTTGTCTTTCCAGCATCTTGCAAGGTCCAATCTGAAAGCAGACCCAGTTCCTCAGAGCCCAGAAAATACAGCCTAAATCAGCCACCTCAGGACGTGGTCAAACATCCCAACTCCTCAACACCGACATAGTCAGTGTGAAGCAGTCATGAGAGACCTTACAGCACAACATTCCCAACCATTAAGATCCCCAAACCCCCCAAATTTTATAATAAACAAAAGGGTGGAAGGTAATTATTCAGCCACCAATAAGGCTGCACTTCTGTGTCCTAAAGGCAGGCACATGTGAGCAGACCCTTGTGAACAAAGGGCATGCATGACACACGTGTGTGCATGTGTGGTTACCTCCACGTGCGATATAACTAAAGCCCTTGTGCACATGTGTGGGTTGCCTGACATCTGCGTCATCAGTGTCTAACGTACTCACACAAACCCCCTATGCACATGTGCAAGTCATGGGTTGCCCATCAGCATCTGAAGTAGTCACATCTTCCCCTTGTGTGCATGTGCTAGGTGGCCTTTGAAAGCTGGACGTGCCATGTTTGCCACCTCTCTCTCTCCATAAACCTCAGGCCTGTGAGCACCTCCCTCCTCTAATAAACTACTATGTGGGTTTGTTTGCGTCTCGTGTCTTCTTCCCACTTGCATCGGACATTTCAATTGTGACTCCTGAATTTGGCTTGCAGGACGCAAACTGGGTCCTTTGCAAGAAAGGCAAGGGCTTGTAACTGCTGTACCATCTCTCCAGCCTCCTTTTCTTGGTTTTTAAACAGGCATTCATAGTTAAAAATCTTCCCTAAGCACTAATTGAGTAATGGCATAAATATTCATATATTGCGTCTTCATTTGCATTTGTCATTTCAAACATCTTCTCTCTGTAGTTGAATTTCAATTCTCCTGGCGCAACAGTTCAAGTGGCTGGGGCTGTAGGCCTTCATCATCTTTTGTGGTGTTTTCAATATATATTCTAATTTCTCTGTTTAATTTCTTCTTTTACACATTGTCATAGTATTTAGTTTTGACAGATTCTAAATTTCTAAATTACATAAATTTCCTTGGTATCAATTTCAAACTTCATTCCATTGTGGTAAAATTGTGTAATTAATTCTACACTTTTTTTTTCTTCCAGTGTATGATCTAACATGGAGAATG